GTAGAGGGTGTGAATACTTTTAGTCTAAAAATCCCTGAACTGATCTGTGGCCCTAAAGGTTAGAGAGATTGAGCAGAGGCCGCCACCGACAGCAGTTGAAAACCACCAACCATCACACACATCCCTCCATCATCTCACACACAGGCAGGAACACAGAGAGAAAGGAGGAAGCGGATTTACCCAGGAATTAAGCACATGTTTCAATCAAAGTCATTCAATTGTCTTTTTCTGCGTTTGGAAATCCAGGTCATAAGAATGTGAGAACCAGACGCACTTAAGATTGTCTTTGCATAGTAACAAATGTCCACTATGCATTACACTACATCTCATTTAGACATTGCCTTTAACCAAAGTAATTCCTAATAAGTGCTATAAACCTTGAGGATAGAAATAGTAGGGAACCTGAATATACTGTATATTAGTTTTACTGATAAGCCAAATCTTTTAAAGTAATACTGAAAGTGTTTATTTTATTTTAATGGCCAAGGTACGGCCAAAACAGTTTTGGCTTTTATTTTGCAACGGAAAATGTGTGGACTTTCTGGCTGTCCTGATATTCATGGGGAGCTTCTTATCTAAATGTTTACCATTCTGACACCAATATATTTAAGTGTAGCTAAACTTCCTGGCTGTTTCATACACAGAAAAAGTTTTATTATCAATTTGAATTATTCTTTTTCCATGGGTTGATGATCCCCAGTGGGAATTCGGATGTAAAAAAAATCTGAATTCATGAGTTATTTCTGTGGAGCATGGCTGATATCCTGGGCAAAGCGTGGAAATCAAGAGCACACAGACAGAGAGACAGAGCAGACGACGTGTCCTGCGCTGCCTCTGTAGTGAGGTGTGGAGGGAATGAGAAGAGACAGAAGAAGTTCCTCTCCTCTCTCTTCCTGTTCCCATGCAGGAATACGTGACTGAGGGCCAGACAGAGTAAGGGCCCTCGCAGCACTCACAGTTACCACAGTAGTAGCTCCAAGTGTCCTCAATGACCGACACCCGGCCCAGAACATCCGCACCCCCCCTGTTGGCGTAGCGCAGCACCACGTGGAAGAGGTCTGGAGAGCTGACCGACACCGAAACCAACACCTTGGACTGCCGAAGGACCAACGAGCAAGGCAGCAGGGGAAAGGGGGGGAAAGGTAGGGGCGAAGATGAAGAGAATGATAAGGTTTAGGAAAGAGGAAAGGGGTAAAGTCAGGATGGAAGGAGAGAAGGAAGTGGGAAGAGAGGAGAGGAAGATGATGGAGGGGGAAGAAATTGAGAGGAAGTTAAGAAAGGATGACACAAAGTGAAGTAGATTTAATGAGTTAAATAGCAACAGGAGAGTAGGTGGAGTGATAGAGGATTAAAAAGGTGATAAAAGATAAGATGGGGGAGAACATGAAGGAGGGAGGGAGCAGAATTTGGGAAACACCGAGAGAAAGAGAGAAACCAAACCAACACTTTAAAACCAGCACCTTCACCACCAATTATATTTCTCTTTGGATTTTCACTTCTTCAGCTCAAACACCCAAGAGCTCAGAATGCTCGAAATATATTATTCTTCAAGATTCACTTCGTGCTTTGAAAGATTCTTGACATTTCAGACGGTAAAAAACACATTTGAACATATATTCTTTCAACAATTGCACCAGAAGAAGAGTCAAATGTGAAGTAAACATGTTTAACTCCAAGGTCCCTTAGACTATGTACTGAGAAGTGATTCTACCAAAGAGAAACATGCCTTCAACATGTATCCATGGAACAAGCTGTTTATCTCGTGCAGGAGGAGAATCAATGACGGGCCACCGTCACAAAAAGATGGAATGCATAATACCAACATTAATCATATCAAAACATATTGAAATACATTCTATATGTGTGCATGTTGTTTAAATATTAGATAACCTATCTGTACCATTTCAAGAATTAAGATGATGTGTGATTATAACTATCTAAAGTCTTTAAAGTGGAGTTTATAAAAGTAAAAGCTGTCTATTGTTAATATAAAATAAGAAAGGACTTTATTCATCCCGAAGGAAATTGTTGTGCCAGAGTTACAAATAATAGCAGCACAATAATAATATAACTGTACACTAACAGTGCAGTGAAAAGAGCACTTCAATAACGGCGCCAGATGTTGTAACTCGTTCCTACCTGGATGGGCGACATCTGGGCGTAACCTCTCCAGCTGAAGTCGCTGAACTCCAGAGGATTGTAGCCAAACCTCACCGGCCTGCCGTCCAGCAGGGTGCCCTCCTCAATCTCAAACTTCAGATGATGGAGGTCGGGGAAGTAATGATCCGGACGAGGTCTGCAGACACAGCCAGAGCCATTTACATGGAAGGAAAAGCTCACACAGAAACAAGGTCTGGATCACCAGGTACGACACTTGTGCTTTTTAATTTGGGTTTTTATCTTACTAGTGTTTTGTATTGTTTTTATGTCATGTAGGAGAGTTATTCAGTCTGTGGCTTCTGATCTGGTTTCATTGTCTCATGTTTTACATTTGTTTCATGTCCTGTCTGTTTTTTATGTATTTATGCTATGTTTTTATTCAGTTGTTGAAGTACAGCACTTTAAATGTGCTATAGAAATAAAGTGGATTTGATTGGATGCTCATTCATATTAAGTTGTGGTCTGGGGAACAGAGATCTCAAAACAAAAAAAAAGATCTCAGCCAAAAGTTATGAGTTATTAAGCACATTCAAACTAAAGTATCAATTTATGTCACATGTAATCAACTAGTGCCTACATGTATGGTTAACATTTAAATCAGTAAATTAAATGGCATATTAATCAATGTATGTATTTTTATAAATATATTTATTTTGGTAGGTTTGCTCTTCCGTAATAAATTATAGTACATTTTTCTAATAATACTTACATACTTTTACTTAAATTAGATATGAATGCAGTACTTTAACTTGTAATGTTAAAAAAGTTAAGACAAAGCGCCCTGCCTTTCTCCGTTTGTATTTTGATGTCTTAATAAATTCCCATTTGATTTCACAGCATGTACTTTCTGCATCACAAAGGACCAATACAAGGATAGGGGAAGGACGGAAAATAAGAAAAATATATAGACTATTTTGAGATTCATTATTAACACCATTTGAGTGAAAAATGGGAAAAAATAGCCCCTTATCTCCTTAACAACAACTTAACCTTATATCACGAACATGTACTTAACAACTATATATCCATATTATTTATTTAGCTGCTGTTGTGCTCACAGATTACACTTGGGTCCCTCCACGTTGGGTCTGCAGCGACACCGTCCGTTCCTCTCTCCACACGACTGACCTGCTGAACCTCCAATGTCACACTGGCAACCTACAAAACATCACACACACATTTATACAGGTTGGAAGCATCAACGCAGTCCAGCTTTCTTTTATGAGAAAAAAACGATTAAAAACGTATTAAACGACGCTAAGGAGCACTGACCCTGGCAGCCAAAGTAGTTTTGTTCCTGCAGGTTGTAGTATCCGTCTTTACAGGTGGAGCAGGTTCCACTGCAGGCGTTTGGCTTACAGTGACACTGACCAGAGCCCTGTTAGCAACAAGAAACACTTACTATTAAAACAAAAACATGTGTGACCCTCATTCTGTCTAATTATCTTTCATACAAACACATGTGACTTTATGACCTACGTTATAGCAAATACAAGGTATTTAAAGTGGCAACAGACACATGTCTTGCTTCAACTCTTGAATCACAATGAATGAAATGTTGATTAGACAATGTAATGACTGTAGAATAATACATGTGTTGCTGGTAGTAGGGTTTGAGAAGCTGGCCCTTTAGAGAGCGGCACCAACCCTCTTGAAAAGAGCTAAAGGGGTGGAAGTCAAACGTTACCATTGCCACTTCAATCATCAATGTGAAGCTATGCATGAGCTCAATGCATCAAAGTACATAACCTTTCCAGGAGGGGACACTTTGACTCAAATGTTCAATTCAGAGGAGGAACTACAGTTTAAAATGCTCACCTGTGCACACTCTGCCACACCGCTGATCGTCCCGGCAACGTTACACTCACAGTCTGCAGGAGACAGCAAATACAGACTTTAGTTTACATATGATCACCAGTTAGTGCAATCAAGCCAATGAAACATAGGGTAGGGTGTGTGTATGTGCTGCTTGTGTCTCTTACTGGTGCATCCATCAGAAGTGTCAGGGGAGAGGTTCCAGTACAGAGGTTTACATGTGTCGCAGGCCGGGCCCTCCACATGGCGCCGGCACTCACACTGGCCCACTGGAGGTGGCACCACGTACTGAACAGAGCCGGCAGGGTGGCAGGTACCAGCTGTTCATGACAAAGAAAGACAACAAATATGGTTTCAAAGTAGATCTGAACAATCCGTGAAGTGGCTGAAAGCATCTATTAGCAGAATTAATATATGAACATTAGTTTCCACTCACAAGTTAGCATCAACATTAGTTTTGCCCCATTTTTTCTATTGACAAAGTGTCATTGCAATTTACATTATTTCTGCTTCCATGAGCAGTTTTGCCCTCGCTTGTAACCATAGCATTTTCTCTAAAACGGATGTGTGTGTGTTTGTGTGTGTGTGCATGTGTGTGTAAGTGGTCAGCTGTAGGTTTCATTAACTGCAGCTGTCACACCTTGTTTCCGTTATGTTAGGCTGACACTTGGTCGTGTTTAACCTGTGTGTGTGTGTGTGCGTGTGTTGTTATTACCTTGGCAGTTGGGGAAGCCATAGGCGCCGTTTGCACAGCTGTCACACCTCAGCCCCGCCACGTTGGGCACACACACACACTGTCCCGTCAGATGGTCACAGCTGGTGTAGCGAGAGCCCTGAGCAGAACACTGGCAGGCTGGACACACAAGATCAGATTTTATTATTCATATTAAAAGAAGTCTGGTAATTAGACCCTCCAGAAAAACGCGGGCAAAAATCCTTGATTATGCGATTAAACATGCGGGGTTTTTATGTGATTTTATGCGGTGAAATTGCGGGAAGTTGCGAAATATGCTTAATATGAGGGGAAAAAGAATAACAATTTTTTTAAATATTGGGCTGTCTTATTTATTATCTCACACACACAACCTGCCACTAACGTTAAACCCCTTTACTATTCAATTAAACACATTCAATGTTTATTTATTGTAAAAGCAATTGGTCTTTTTTAATCTCACACACACACACACACACACACACACACACACACACACACACACACACACACACACACACACACACACACACACACACACACACACACACACACACACA